TACCGATGTCCCCGTGTTAGTGTCTGTGTGGTCTGTACCGATGTCCCTGTGCTGGTGTCGGTGTGGTCTGTACCGATGTCCCCGTGTTAGTGTCTGTGTGTGTGGTCTTTAGAAACACTTGTGTCATCTGGTAATTTATGCCATCTCTTATTCTGTCAGTCTGGTGACAAGTCTATCAATTTTACTGATTTTTGTCCACAGAGACAGTTTGTAGTTTCATTGATTTTTCTTAATTGTTTTCAATTTCACTGATTTCTCATTTGTCTTCTTTCCTTTTTTTCTTTTTTCTTTCTTTCTTTCTTTCTTTTTTCTTTTTTCTTTTTTTTTTTTTTTTGCTTTGGTTTTGAGACAGGATCTTGCTATGAAGGCCTGGCTAATCTGGAATTCAGCATGTAGCCCAGGCTGTACCTACCAAGTGATGGAATTATAGGCATGAGCCACCACACTCAGGTTCCCCTAGAGACCCTAAAGCATGTTTATCATAGCAGACACTTGCTGTTACTTTCTTTTTACAGAAAAGGAAGCTGCAAATAGAAAGAATTATCCCAACATCCTAAAACTAAGTAGCAAAGCCAGGACTCAGACCCAGGATTTTCAGCCCCCAGATTCTGTTCTGATGATACACTGCCCCTCAGCTATCCAACTCCAAGGCCAGCCCTTCTTCTACATCAGACACCCCTCCAAGCACCACTAAGGTCGATGTCTCGGATTCCCCTGGACACTCAGTATTTCCCACTTTCCTTCACATGGGACCCTCAACTTTCCCTGAGTTCAACTACCATTCTAATTCTCTTGACCAAAACAAAGTGTCCAGGCAGAACACATTTAGGAAGCCTCGGCACTAACCTTGGACTTGGCTGAACTACAAGTGGTGGAATCTGTTGGCAAAAGAAAGAAAACTGGATGTTAGATCAGGAAGGATAAGCGGGGTAATATGAACACATTTTCCTTGCCTCAAAAGTTCAGAGATGAAGGTGTTCTCCCAGGCCCTAGGAGTGCCATTGTTCCTGCTGGCATTTTCTATGGGATGGCCCAGAGCACAAGATGATGTTAGCCACCACTTCTTTAGAGGCAGGAAGTGACATCAAGCTGTGGGCCACTGAGTCTTCACTTGCCCAGGGTTAATGACAGAGGGGGCTTTTCTTTGGTCTTGGCTCCTCTTCCCTCCCCCTCACGCCCCGTGACTCTGAAGCACTGGAGAGAAAATGCCAGTACCGGATGCAGTCCACAGAAATCACAACGGTGCGACACAGCACATCACAGATACTCTGGAGAACATGGAGACCACACAGTGCAGAAAGAGGTGTGCGCCCCACCCCCACCACATGAGAGGAAAAGGGACCACGCTAAGTGATCACGTAAAAGAGCAGAAATGAGGTGGGTAAGACACAGGAGGGCAGTGGACTGGTGATAGAGCCAACATCAACCTGCCCTTAAGGGGCATGGTCCCTTTTAAAACCAGTCAAAACCGGTACATCTGAGGGACTAGAGTCCCACTCTTTAGTGTCTCCAGAATGGAGAAGGAACCAGATAACAAGACCAGGCAGTGTCCTCTCCACGGCTGGAGAGGGAGCAGGTTGGTTCAAAGGCCTGGGATGAGCAAGTGCAGTTAATCCACACTCTCTGGCAGGCAGGTTAGAGGCCCCTCCCCAGCCCCCGCCCCCAGCAAACGGTGAGAAGAGCAAGAATGGCCGACCACACTCAACACACATGGGGCAGGCGGCAGCAGGTGATTAGAAGAGACAGGGGGCTCCTCCCCCACCCACCCCCAGACTGTATCTCATAACTAGGGCTGCTGAGGGCAAGAACTGGACATGCCAGGGCAGAATAGTCAGACATGAGAAGAGCTAGTGGCTGGGACCATTCATTTGCCTCTGGGCACAGAAGCCACCCTTCCTCTGGGACGAGACTTCCAGCATCAGTGTCCAGCTGACCTGAACAGGAGCTGTCATTTTAGAATGGCATCTAGGGGTGGTATCACTGTCCCTGCAGAGGCTGGTCCACAGACAAGCTTCCCTCATCTTGGTCAACCTGAAGTGCTCGCTCTGCACAGGGAAGGTCACAGAGCTGGGGCCGAGATGTCTGGTGGCAGGGCAAGTCTGGCTTCCTTCCAAGAACGAAACACAGGGATAGGAGGAGGCAGGGTGGGGCCATGGTAAATCGTGGACCAGAACTGCCAGCTGCTATGTGAAGCTGGGGTGCTCACTGCTGGGGACATGTCTACCACTCGGCGGCCTGCCCCGCCTTCTTATAATCACCCGCCACTGTTAGTGACTGAGGCCGCGACACCGCACTGTACCCTTTAAATCTCCAACACGTCCGCTGGAGGAGGGCAGGAGAAGAACAGGGAAGGGAGGATGGAGAAGGTGGGAGGAGATTGAAGGGAGAAGAGGAGGGACAAGGTGCAAGGAGAGAAGGAAGAGAAATTAAAAAGAGGAATATGCACCCAGAATAAAGCCCTCAGCTGCAGAAACCAAAGGCACAGGAGAGGACCAGAGATGGCCAAGCACAGCCCCGCCCAGTCCTGGGGATGCTGAACACACAGCTGGATTTTCCCAGAGAGGGAGAAACCCCACTGTGGCTGATCTTAGGGTACAGCCAGGCAAGGTGCCTGGGGCAGGGAAGATAAACATCTGGCTAGGTATCTGGGACCCTCAGGAGGGCAGAGCCCCCCATCTCTCCCCTCCCAGGTCCCTGTACTCACCTGAGCCTGGATCACTGGGGGGCATTGTCCTGCCAATGTTAGGCAGGAGGTACTCGATGTTGGGCACTGACTGTGGCTCCTTGTCATCAACAGGGGTCTGCAACAGGAGAGGGGGTCAGCCAGGAGTCTCCCAGATGGCTAGCCCTCAGGCTCCTCAGAACACAGCGGCCTCATGACAGCCTTCAGGCCTCCTCCATGGGTGGGGCTGTCTCCTCATGGGAACATCCTGAGACTAGATCTGAGGTCTCCCATGGTGCTGCTGGGTGTCACCCCACCAGGACAGAACTCCCTCAGCTGAGAACAAGGACCTCGTCTCTCCCATCAGACTGGGCTATGCTACATGCTACATACTGGGTGTCCTCGGAGTTTGATCTGTATCTCCCCCTTCAGACTGCTGCTCCTGAAGGGAAGGGCTATCTTCTCGGTCACACTGCAGGTGCCTAGGGCTAAGGATTCTCCTTTCCTTCAATCTTTTTTTTTTTAAGATTTTATTTTTATTTTAACCTTTTTATATGTCTGGGTAGTTTGACTGTATGTATATTTGTGCACCAGATACCACTGGAACTGGAGTACAGACGGCTATGAGCGGCCACGTAGGACTCCAACTTGGGCCCTCTGGAAGAGAACCAATGTGTCATTTCTCCAGCCTCATTTGTTTTATTTTATTTTTTATTTTTTTTTTTAAAGACAGGATTTCTTTGTGTAGCCTTGGCTGTCATATAACTAGCTCCTGTAACCATGATGGCCTTGAACTCACAGAGCTCTGCCTGCTTCTGACTCCCAAGTGCTGGGATTAAATCTATGCACCATCACCAGCTGCCTCTTTTACTTTTAATTGCATGATTATCTGTGTCTGAGTGTGAATTTGTGCACTTGAGTTTAGTGCCCATGGAGGTCGGGTGTGTGTGTGGGGTGCATCAGACGTTCTAGAATTGGAGGTGGTTGTGAGAACTGAATGGGGGTGCCGGGAACTACATTTGGGTCCTCTGCAGGAAGAGTGGGTGTCCTTAACCTCTGAGCCATCTCTCCACTGCCACACCCACAGCCAGCCTTCAGAAAAAGGGGTCACCTCCGACCATACCCCACCACGCCTCTCATCACTTACTCGCTCTCCTTTGTCCTCGGCATCACTGAAGAACCAGTCTGACTGCAAAAGAGACAAAGGACAGGGGTGGAATTAGCATGGGGAGAGGGAAGACGGGGCTCCTCAACCTTCGGGCCGAAGGACTCAGTCCTGAGGGTGACCCCTTCTAAGCCCTAGGAGAGAGGGTTCAGACAGCTCCACAGCTAGGAGAAAACCTTAGGGGAAGACAAAGTGGACCACTATGTAGGAGAGAAACAGACCAGAGCTAGGCAGAGCCCACCACAAGCAGGTTACAGGTTTTTCACAAACTGGTCCTCGGCGCCTCACTATGGTATATGCCCCCCAGAGCCAGCTAGGAGCCCTGGGCGGCAGCGCCCTCTAGTGGACACTAAGTGGACTGACAGTGTGGGGGTGCCACCTAGTAGCAGGAGCTGAGCCTGCAGGGCAACAGCTCCCACCATCGGACCCTGGCTCCACACTGACACCTGGGGCGGCACACTCTATCCAGTGAAGGAAAATACCTGAAAACAGGTCTTAGCTTCCCCCAGGACAGACAGGCAAGAGCTTTCTAAAATACGCCAAATACACTGAGCATGGTGGCTCATGCCTGAAGACAGCTGGGGCTAGAAAACTGGGTTCAAGGGCAGCCCAGGCTACAGTATGAATTCCAGTCCGGCTTAGCTACAGAAGTCCTTGTCAAACAAAACAAAACAGGTTAAAAGATAAAGCTGAAAAATCCGGGATTTTATAATCCAGAGGCTCAGACTACTTAGAAATGACCGAATTACATGGACCTTCCAGCAGCAGATGAGAGAAAACAAATAATGTTTCTAGTTCTTTTTTTGTTTTGTTTTGTTTTGTTTTGTTTTGTTAAGACAGGATTTATCTGTGTAGCCCTGGCTGACCAAGGTTCTGCAGACCAGGCTGACCCTGAACTCACTGACACCTGCCTGCCTCTGTTTCCCAAGTGCTGGGATTAAAGGTGTGTGCCACCACTACTTGACTGAAACCAGACACTTTATATCCTGCTAAACTCTTATTTAAATTTAAGGGCAAACCCAAGCATACTGGTACGTACCTACAATCCAGTACTAGGGAGGCAGAGGCAGGAGGATTGCCACAAGTTTGAGACCAGGCTCGTGAGGCGAACTAGGACTACATGAGAATTTGTCTCAAAAAAAAAAAAATTGCAGCATATATGATGTTTTTATTTTTTGAGGCAAGGTATCATGTAACCCGACTTGCTGTGAACTCCTGATCTCTCTGCCTCCACCTCCCAAGTGTGAACCACCACACCTGGCTCAAAGATATCTTAAAATATTTCGCCAGGTGATGGTGGCACATGCCTTCAATCCCAGCACTCTGGAGGCAGAGGCAGGCGGATCTCTGTAAGTTTGAGGCCAGCCTGGTCTACAGAGCTAGGTCCAGGACAGCCAGGGGTACAGAGAAACCCTGTACCAATGTGTGTGTGTGTGTAAAGGGCAATTGGGGACTGCAGAGACGGTTCTGTAGATAAAGAACTTGTGGCACAAAAATGAAGGAAGATCAGAGCTTAGATCCCAGTATCTATGTAAAAAGGCAGGCAGGGAGGGCTGGAAAGATGGCTCAGAGGTTAAGAGCACTGGCTGCTCTTTCAGAGGTCCTGAGTTCAATTCCCAGCAACCACATGGTGGCTCACAACCATCTATGAGACCTGGTGCCCTCTTCTGGCGGGCAGGCATACATGCAGACAGAACATTGTATACATAATAAATAAATCTTTAAGAGCACCGGCTGTGCTTCCAGAGAACCCAGACTTGATTCCCAGCACCCACAAGGCAGCTGACAATCTGCTCTAACTCCAGTTCAAGAGACTGGCGACCTCTTCTGGCCTCTGCAGGCACTGCAACACTCATGGATACACAGACACTCATGTAGGTAAACACCCAGACATAAAATATTAAAATATACATGCAAAAAGATTGATTTCTTTAGCAACTCAATAGACAAATCTGAACTAGCGAACATATTTGGAACCTTGCCCTCAGTCATTAGAGAAAATAAATTCTGAAACATACACAAGTCATTCAAAAGTCAAGCCTGCCCTGGGCCACCGTGGGATGCCAGTGGCTCTTAAGCGTCTGCACAGCCACAATCCCTGTCCTCTCCTCACAATGGAGTAAAGTGAGAACTAGTGACTGGTGGTATTCTGTCTGTGCGCTAACAAATACCGCTCGCCTAAAGGTTGGAGTGTGGAGCTAGTCACTAGATAGCCATAGAGGCCGGGCAGTGGTGGCACACAGCTTCAATTCCAGCACTCGGGAGGCAGAGGGATCTCTGTGAGTTCAAGACCACCTTGGGCTACCTGAGATTGATTCAATCTAAAAGAGAAACAGAGTCAGGCAGTGGTGGCTCACATCTTTAATCCCAGTACTTGGGAGTCACAGGCCTTTAAGCCCAGAGCTAGGAAGGTGGAGACAGGAAGAGATATGGCTGGGCGGAGAAAGGAATATAAGGCAGGAGGAGATGGGAACTGAAGGCTTTCAGTTTGAGGACTTGTAGAGACAGGATACCCCATTTGGTCTGAGGATTTTCCTTTAGCACTGGGACTATCACTGGGGAAGCCTTAAAAGGATTGGGGATCCAGGAAGCGCTCAGGCTCCTCAGCTTTTCTTCTTACCCCTTTTGTGCCCCCATCAGACTCCTCATCCCCCCACTCTTTAAAAAAAAAAAGCAGAATAAAAAACTGAAACACAAAGTCACTACTAAAAGGCATAGAAGAGAGGAAAACAGAACAAAAGGAAAAAAAGAAGAAAGGACATAGAACAATTACTCATAATAAAAAAGAAATGTGCAAACAAAATTAGAAGAATGTATGAAAAAAAACAACAGTATAATTTTTAAACACGGTGAAGTCTAAACACGGCGGCAAGTGTAGTTGGAGATGCGGGGCAGCAGCTCTCTGGCTACCGCCCAGTCCATGGCTCCCTTGCAGAGGCAGTGAACTCAGAAATCTGTTCTCATGCTGAAAAGAAGACATCTTGCCTAAAAAAAAGTCTTGGGAGAGGCCCAGGGTGGCGGCTCAGCCCTCTGAGAGAACAAAGCAGGGGATTCACTGCAAGCTTGAGGCCAGCCTGGTCTGTACCGCCAGGATACACAGCAAGACCCTGGTTTTTTGTTTGCTTGTTTTGGTTTTGGTTTTTCAAGACAGGGTTTCTTTGTGTAGCTGTCCTGGCTGTCCTGGAACTCACTGTAGACCAGCCTGGCCTCAAACTCAGAGATTTGCTTGCCTCTCCCTCCCGAGTGCTGGGATTAAAGGTGTGTCACCACCACCCTGCTCCTAGCGTGGTGACACACTGTTGTTTTTACAGTCCTTTCTTTTCTCTGAGTAGTGCTGGGGATTGAGCCCTCCAGAGTGGGCTGCTCAACAGGCAGATCTCCAAATAACACGGCAAGTGACATCCAAACCGCAAGACAGAAAGAAACCAAGAAACATGGAGAACTTGCCAAGCCGCTCTTCCCAAGTCAGAGATTCTGAGACAAGGCTGGAGGACAGCTCAGTGGGGGAGGGCACTTGCTGTTCTTGTAGAGGATCCGGGTTCAGTTCCTAGCACCCACATGACTCACACCTCTGTAGTTCTAGTTCCAGAAGCTCCTTCTGCAGGCATGTGGTGCACATACATACATACATGCACACAAAACATACACATTACATATATGTGTATATGCATTCATTCATATAAATGAGATACTGTGATAGCAAAATGTTAGATGAAGATTTCAAAAGTTTACTAGTAAAAATAATCAATTATTGAAAGAAGACGAATAACAGGCAGATAATTCAATTTAGGATCTGGTGAGGAAAGTCAGCAAAGTAGAAGAAAAGATCAGTCCCCCAAAAATCAGATTTTGGAAAAAAATAGAAATCTTGGAAATAAAAAATTCAGTGACTCTAATAAAAAAAAAAACCACAGACAGAAGCGTGCGGACAGACTTAATGGAGCAGAGAAGGGGTGTCAGCAATGGAAGAGGTGCTAGCTAGTTTTATGCGAACAGATACAAACTTGAGGGACTCTCAACTGAGAAAATGCCCACACAAGATTGGTCTATAGGCAAATCTGTTGGGCATTTTCTTGATTAATGATTGATGTGGGAAGGCATAGCCCATTATGAGTGGTGCCACTTCTAGGTTCTATAAGAAAGCAGGCTGAGGGCTGGAGAGATGGCTCAGAGGTTTAGAGCACTGGCTGCTCTCCCCGTGATCCTGAGTTCAATTCCCAACAACCTTATGGTGGCTCACAACCAACCGTAATGAGATCTGGTGCCCTCTTCTGGCATGCTGGTTACATAGAGTACAGAATACTGTATACATGATAAATAATGTTCTTTAAAAAAAAAAAAAGAAAGAAGGAAAAAGAAAGAAAACAAGCAGGCTGAAATCTGGCAGTGGTGACGCACGCCTTTAATCACAGCACTCGGGAAGCAGAGGCAGGTGGATCTCTATGATCTATGATCGATAGAGTGAGTTCCAGGACAGGCTCAAAACAAACAAACAAAAAAAGAAATAAAGAAAGCAGACTGAGCAGGCCATGGGAGCAAGCCAGTAAGCAGCTTCCTACATGGCCTCTGCTTCAGTTCCTGCCTGGACCCGATGGGCCAGCACAGCGAGCCCTTTCCTCCCCAGGGCGGTCATGGTTCATCGGAGCAACTGAGACAGAGGACACGGGGGACAAGTACAACAGCACAGAGAAGATGAGCATGAACACAGAGGCCAGGAGCTCCGTCTCGTGATCAGAAGACCAAACTGAAGCAGTCACAGGACAGAGGGAACCGAGGTTAAAACTAAAGGCATCCAGACTCTCTTCTATGAATATAACAGAAAATTTGCCAGATCAGGAGAACAAATGGACACCCAAAGAGAACCCCAAACAAGTGCAAAGGCAGATCACAGGCGAGGTGTGAGAGCAAAGAGAAACACTGCTACACACTGTCAGGGCGCTGTGGATGCATCTACACAAGTGAGTCCGTCAGAGACACACAAAGGCTCTCAGCTAGCCAGAGCCGGCCGAGCATGGGACTGTGTA